CCACGCGTCCCGGACCAGCTCCCCGCCGGTTCTCCCGTGGGCCGGTTCTCCCGGCTCCCCAACACCGGCTCCGGTGGCCCAGGGTTAGGGGAAGGCTTGCAGACCAGAGGGATCTGTACCTGGCATTTTTTCTCTCCAACAGGTTTTGTTGGGGGTGGAGTGGGGCGGGGGGCGGTGAAGTGGATTTTAAGGAGGAAAAACCTGGGGCAGGAGGTAGGGAATAGAAAAGAAATCCAAGTGTAGCTGCTTTGCTAATCGCTTTATAATCAGAACAAGCGAGTGGAGAACGGCCTGTGCAGAACAACACACTAAGTTCAAGACGGAGGTGGCCTTCAGGCAGGGCGGGGGTGGGGGTGGGACTGCAGTCCCTACTGCTGGTGGGTCACTGGTGTGCGGTCCGGTTCGCTAACGTCCGCTTGGCCGGATGGAAGCAGATGAGTGTCAGTTTCATGTGTCACGTAAGTTCCTCCCCACGCGGAGCGCCAGGCGGGGCTGCACTAATGTCCAACTCCTCCTGACTATGGCCGCCACCCTTCTCCGTCCGTTTCTCCAACGCCCGAGGGGCACCTCCCTGAGCCCTGCTGCCCCTCCTGCAGCACCGCCTTTGTGATCACCCCCTTTCTCGCACGTTACAGGGAGCAGGGCTGGTCGTCTGGGTCGGGGAGGAGCAGGCGGGGGCGCAAATATATTTTTTATTGATTTCAGAGAGGAAGGGAAAGGGAGAGAGAGGTAGAAGCATCAATGATGAGAGAGAATCATGGATCGGCTGCCTCCTGCCCACCCCACACTGGGGATCAAGCCCACAACCCGGGCATGTGCCCTTGACCAGAATCGAACCCAGGACCCTGCAGTCCACAGTCTGACGCTCTATCCACTGAGCAACACTGGCCAGGGCGAAAGTTCAATCATTTTAATTCAAAGCCGAGGCCTGTGGAGAGAGCGCCCTCAGCATTAACAGCTGTGGCCTCATCGAAGGGTCTGTCCAACCTTTAATGCCAAAGCAGGACCGCTGAGTTACGAAATCTGTCCCTCCTGTTCCGTGTCCAGCAGCCAAAGGTCAGAGTGACTCAGTGGCCCAGGCGCTGGGTGTCTCTGTAGAAGGCGCAGTGAACTTACGTCTTAACAAGGCCGGGCTAATGAAAACCACACTGCCCGGCAAGCAGCAGGGAAGGGTATTCTGTTGATTTTACTCCTAAGGCTTTTTTGTTTGTTTGTTTTAACTACTGTGCCTGCCAGATTCGGTGAGCATGACACAGCCCAGACACGTCCCAGGAGCCTGGAGCGTCTGTGGCTCTTCGGATGCCGGTAGAGATTTGGCTCTGCCCTGGGCCAGCCTCCTCTGCCTTCCCATGCGGGGAGGCCCATGGCCTGGGCCCCAAGAGCCACCTGGGGGCTCCTCCCTCTGCTGTGACTCCTGGGACCGTCTGAGGAGGAAACTGAAGCCAATGACAGCACAACTGTCCTAACATCCGAGTATCCAACGTCACCCCTAAAGCACACCCTGCTCACCGCCCATTGCCTTCCTGTCCTCACTCAGCTCCATCCGAAAGGAGAGTGGAATATGAGCTCCAGAAAAGCCGGCCAGTGTTGCTCAGTGGTTGAGCATCGACCTATGAACCAGGAGGTCATGGTTCAATTCCCGGTCAGGGCACAGGCCCGGGTTGTGGGCTCCATCCCCAGTGTGGGGCGCACCATGATTCTCTCTCATCATTGATGTTTCTCTCTCTCCCTCCCTCTTCTCCCAAAGTGCCCAGAACACAACAGCCTTTCGGCCCTCAAAAAAGATGGTTGCTTCCTGGGAAGGTTGAGTAGTTGTGAAAAATTCTTCATGCCAGGCCTCAGGCCAAAACTCTTCCTCCAGCAGGCATTTCCCAGCTGGCCTGCCACAGCGCCCCCGGGGCCGGGATCCATATTGACAAGTAGGTTTCCCGCGTAAAACACTGTTCCCGCTGTAAATATTTAGCTGGAACCAAAATCTGAGTGTTCTCCTACACAGTCCAGGGAGAAAGCAACCCGCGGGGCAGAGCCAGGCTGCCCGAGGCGGACGGCCTCTCCAGGACCTACCCAGGCGCAGGGCCCCTCCGTGTTCGCACGCCTCCGGCTGCTTCCCCCCACGTTCAAGGTCTGCTGCTTCCCGCACGAACAGGCCAGTCCGGACAGAGACTGGCTGGAACTGGGCCCCTTGGCCTCTTCATCTGCTGCTTTGATCATTAACAACTCACAATGCCCCCAGTGGCAGGTGGGTTCCTGGGTGCAGGGGAGGGGCACGGCCCCAGGTGGTCTGTCACCTTCCTCCTGGTCCCCTGACCCCTTTGGATATGTCCCTGGGATTGAGGTGGAGGGTCTGGCGCTGAGGAGCCAGAGCGGTGGCCAGGAGGTGAGGGAGCAGGAGGCTGGAGGGACCCTGGGCCCAGCGATGAGAAGCAGGCCTCTGAGCCCAATCTGCTGGCTGGAGCTACACAGAGGCCGAGCCCACTGAGCAGAGTGGCCCCAGGGGCCACCTGGCGAGAGCTCAGACTCTGGTCCCGACCCAGGGATGTGGAACAGGGAGAGCCGGCTGCGCTGGGGCCAGGGTCTCCGAGTCCAGCCCACGGCCAACCTGGAACTGGCCTTTGAAAGAATCCTGGCTCTGCTCTCAGGCCTCAGCTGTGACCTCCACTTGGCCATTCACTCATCTCTCTCCTTTTTAAAAAATGAATATATTTTTATTGATTTCAGAGAGGAAGGGAGAGGGAGAGAGAAACATCAATGATGAGAATCATGAATTGGCTGCCTCCTGCACACCTCACACTGGGGATCGAGCCCACAACCCGGGCCTGTGCCCCGACTGGGAATCGAAGTATGACCTCCTGATTCATAGGTCGACACTCAACCACTGAGCCACCCGGCCGGGATCTCTCCTTTTTCTATCCCTTCTTCCTCAGCTGCCCCTCAGCCCCCAGCCGCCCCAGGAGCTGCTAAGACCAGCTCCTGCCCTGAGTGCTGGGACAGAGCCTGCCCGCCGGCATGGCCAGTGGTCCCAGTGGCTTCAGCATTGACCGTGGGAGGCGGCCAGGGGAGGGGAGCCGCTCCTAGGGCAGCCGGGCAGCGCCAAGCCCTGCCTGTGCCTGGAGTCCCGTGTGCGGCGAGCAGGCTCCAGAGCTCTTATTTGTTCTCGGAGCTGCGTGTTTCTATTTCGGTTCTGCTAATCCAGCCGCAGCCAGTGTCTCCACAGAAACAGCCAGCGACTGCCTGGCTCGCCCAGAGGAACTGGGGGGACAGGGAGACGCACCCCGCGCATTCCTCAGTCCGTTCCTCCCGAGCCGGCTCTGGGCCCAGCTCCGCCGCCTGGGGAGGGAGTTGTAGGACAACCCATGTTCCGGCTCCTGTCCCCTCCAGGGAGCCCCGAGACCCCCACCTGCCCGGGAGCACACCTGCGGCTGCAGGAAGCGGTGCCCAGGCAGGAAGGCCTCCTCGGGCCCCTGGGGAGCCGGCGCCGAGGGGCAGGTGGCAGGGGAGTGACCAGCTTGCGGCCCGAGGGGCACTTCCAGGAACAGCTGTGTCCACAGAGGAAGCTCCAGTGCCAGGGGTCCAGGAGCATGGCCCCTGCGGTGAACGGGAATTTCCACACAAACAGAGCACTGCCCGGCGGGAGGGGCTCAGCGCCAACCAGAGCCAGGAGGTCACGGTTCGATTCCTGGTCAGGGCAGGGCACATGCCCGGGTGGCGGCTCCATTCCAGTGGGAGGCGTGCAGGAGGCAGCCTGTCAATGCTTCTCTCTCATCATTGATCTCTCCCTCATCCTTCATCCCTCTCCCTCCTCAATAGACATACCTTTAAAACAAAAACAAGCCCCCGCTGGCCCAGTAACTGAGGCCAGGGTGCTCCTGGCTGCAGTCAGGTTGATGAAGGGCGGGTGGTGGAAAGGAACAATTTAGTTCCCAGGAAAGGAGTTCCATCGGGGCCATGAAAACTGCCAGCTTTCTAAACAAAACAAAACACAAGCCCTAGCTGGTTTGGCTCACTGGATAGAGCGTCGGCCTGGGGACTGAAGGGTCCCGGGTTCGATTCCCGTCAAGGGCATGTA